GATTAGGGTTATTAATTTATTACCTGATTTTTTAATAAATAATCTTTGCACCTGATTTTTAAAAATAATCTTTAAACACCTGATTTTTTATAATTTCCCATAAAATAATAAGGAATCGACTGGCCAGCCCAATAAAAGCACGACCTCTAATCGGCTCGGACTGGCTCATGGGCTAATATGCCTCAACAAATGGGCCTTTGAGTACAGGACCGTATACCATAATTATACCCAAGAGAACAATCCACTTCATTTTATTTCCTTCTAATTTTTATTTTTCAGTAAGTCGCAATTTGTGCATATTTCATGTGCATATCTTGATTTTGGCAAGTCAAAACTTTATGCGGTATTTTGCATCAGTAAGTCACGATTTTATCGTATTTGCATACACATTTTTTATTAAATGAAATATAATTACGCAACAGTTTTCCAACAAAAACTCTACTCATAGAAGCCATAGATTCAAAAGCTATACTCACAATAGATGTACCAAAAAGATCCCAAGAATCAAATTGTTCTATGCAACTTATTTTCTAACTGAGCAAGTTCCTCAAGTCTTAATAAACTGAAGGATGAATCATTAAAGCACTGGAATCACAACTGAATGAGCACAACACTATTTGGTCATTGCTTCCAAAATTTACAGCATAAAGTTTACAACTATTATTACAGGCATTGATTTTGCTTTATGGCAATGAAGAAAAGGGAGGGTGGAAGGGGTAGAAGGGGGAAAAAGGGCCAAGAATTGCACTTCTGTGTTATCAAACAGTAACATGGTCATCCATAGCAAAAAATACACTTGGCAGAACCATTATTGGCGATACGATGACCGGGAATAACCATGATGACTATTTATTACCTGCAAATACAAAGGAACCGGCGAAATTCAAAATCTTGAGTTACGAAATTCTACAGGATAAAATGACATTACCAGAACATAGCTATCGATTCAGATGCAATCTAATACAACCAAAGCTGTAAAAGTCAGAAGTTGAGGAGGATATAAAGGATGAATTAACAAAGAGATTACATCAGTTTAAGAAAAGAAAAATCAACACTTGATCCACTACAATATTAAAAAGAATGCATGTATAAATGATAACATGTATATAGATTGACTGAAAGATACCTATCATGATCTTACAAAAATTAACACGAAGAGGAACTCTCAAGTCAAGATATTCAAGACAAAACTCGATACACTATACTCAGCTCAACCCCAACCAATCAAGCATCTCAAGAAAAAAGAAAAGAAAGTGGCTCGGAACTCGCTGATAGGAAAGGAGAAAAAAACAAAGCAATTTCTTTCGTATCAAGAGTTTCAAAAATACTGGGACATCATAGGACTATCAGTTGTGGACCTAGTGACTAAAGCNGGCCCAACCATTATCTCAGCGTTAGCCCACATTTTGACACGCCAGAAACATTCCGCACAGCCCTCCGGGTTCATAACGGTAATAACTATATATACTGTGCGAGATAGAAACAATTTCCACAACTTCGACAAAACACAGATCCCTTCCAAGCCAAACAGGCAAAATATTGATGTCTGGAACTTCATTAGCTGCACTTCCATATACATTTATTTACCACACTCATCTGCCAGCGCATGTTTTGATGTTTCAGACTAGTCAATCGTTTATAAAAACTCTGAAGGCACACCACAAAAAAAAAAAAAAAAAAAAAAAA